CACAGCTTGGGTGGGGCAGGGTCTCAGGGGATCAACAGGGCAGAGCAAACAGCTATGGCTGCTCCTCAGTCTTACCCTAAGAGGCCCTATGTCTCAGTGTCCCAGTAATTGCTGCAAGCACCTCTGAGAGAAAGCGGCCCTTAAGTTCTGACCGATGCCAGACAGTCCAGTTTCTCCCTGTATGAGTCTGGGTCCCTAGAGACTCGCCCGGAACTGGAGTTCAGAGCAGGTGAGAGTTTGAGACTCCCTCCTGATTGAAAAAGACAACCGTGTCCTCAGTTGCCAGCCCTTTCCACGTGCGCCTCCGTACCTCTACACTTTACTTCCGCACCTCCTCTGAGTCTCAGTGTGCTTTTCTCTTTCCTTCTAGTTGTCGAATTTCCACTCAGCCAGCCTTCCTGTGGTTCTGGACGATGTCCACTTTGTCTTTTAGTTGTATTTTTGAAGTGGTTGTGCGAGGCAGCAATTTCCAGTGTTTACCTATGCCTCCATCTTGGTTTCTCCCCTCAAATAAGTTTTCAATTCCTTCCTATTTCTCCTATCCTTCTGGCATTCCATGATACCAATATTTGTATGCTTGATGTTGTCCCCGATGCCCCTCATATTTTTGGATTCTGTTTTTTGTTTGTTTGTTTGTTTGTTTTGTTTTGTTTTTACTGTTCTAATTAGGTGTTTTCTCCTACCTTATCTTTCAAATTGCTGATAGTATTTTGGGAGAAACCATATTTTTTAACAAGCTCTTCAGACAGGGCTGGAGACAGCAGAGACTGATTCAGTTCTGGATCACACAGGATAGGAGAACAGGAGAAGAGGGGACCAGTGGTTTGGGGTGCCAATGGACGACAATGGCATCATTCCTAAAAATACATCCTCAGAAGGTTAATGGAAAGCTTGGAATCTTGAGGGATGGGCCCTCAGGACTTGTGGGATTTGTTCCTGGCTTTCCCTAGGAAGGCCAGACCATGGGACTTTCCTGGACTCAGATTCTCCCCCAATCCCACACTCCTGCTAATTTTCATATCTCTGGGGAAATAAGGTGAGGGCAAGGTAAGTACTTAGAGTTCTCCTGGAAGGTGGTGGGAGCTGAAGCAGTTAGAACTTCAGGGCAAAGTACAGAAGAGCTCAGGTTTAGTAGCTTGAGGTCTGTCATTATCGACAGCCCACTGATGAGTCTCACTGGATTGCTGTCAGGAGATCTGATCCCCTCACCTGCCTGGGTCCTCTGTGTCCTCACCTGGATTATGAAGGATCACACTGGGCAGTCCCTGACATTCCTTTCTGTCTTGTCATGTGATGGTCTGTGACTCCACAGGTGCCGAAGGTCCTCCTGCACTTCATTGAGATGCTGGGCCAGCATAACTACTTGGCCTTGCCCCAGGGGAACGCTCTAATCAGCTATATCATCAAGCTTGTGGAGTCTGACTCATCAGTGAGCAAGGGGCTGGGCAGGGAGGGGACCGAGGATGGGAGCACACCTCAGGGGATGGAACAAGAGGAAGGCAGGGTTGGGAGCAGGAGGGAAACAGGAGGGTATGCCTGGCACATGTGAAGGGTCTTTGGCCTGTAAAACCCTAAGCAGTGAGCCAGGGAAGGCCGTGAACCCAGAGACTTAGCTAGCATTGGTTTTAGATTTAAATCTTTCCTTTTCTCATCCTAGAATGAAGAGGACATCCGAATAATGTGTTCCAGAATCCTACAGATGGTATAAACAGCTAGGGCCAAACAGGCCTCTCCATTTCCTCCTCCCCTGGCTCCCCAGATCACTACCCTGACCCTGGCCCCACCCCCAACTACCTCCCACCTTCCCCTTCCATCAAATGCCTTGTGGTGTCTCTGTCACCTCAACCCACCTGCATTTCATTCCCTACAAGTGCCTGGGGTTCCACTGAGAAGTGCTCAGGGCAGCAAAGGAGGGTCACTGGGTGTGGATCTGGAAGCCAGAGTCTGAGTCCTGATCAGCCAGTTTTCTAGCTGTAAAATCTTGAATAACTTGTTCTCCCAGCTGCAGTGTCTTCTTTTATAAAAAAGGGGGTGATTATATTTCCTGACTGTTCTCAGCAACCTCCAGGGATTCTGGGAGGCTCATATGAACTGCTTTGCATCAGAGCTGAGGAAAGGGCTGTGTTGTGGGAGGAAAGGGACTTAAGATTCACTCTCCCTCCCAGTGAGCTCTGCCTCCTGACCTTCAGCATGTCTCTGACTCTGGAAGGTTCCTCAGTGAAGGTGATTACAAGTCACACATTCCAAATTTCAAGAAGTCCTCATCTGTCAAGTCAACTTATGCCTGCTGTAATTTTAATCAGGACCTTGGTTATACTTTTCCAACCTGAAGTGAGGGGTTGGGGGTGGGAGTGGGGGAGAGAGAGAAAGAAGAGGGAGAGAAGGGAGAGAATGGATATGAATGGGTTAAGGGGGCTCTGTATACAGGCCTCAAATACTCGGTCTGGATAGGGAGACAAGGTCTTTGGGTTGGAGACTGATGACGGGCTGACTTGGGGCTTGGCATTGAAATTCTTGCCACATCTCCTGCCAGGTATCTTTGCCCAAACTGGTCACGTTGGTGTGTGAGCCCAACAACGCCTTGGCCTTCGTGCCTCTGTGTAAGGCAGCCACACAAATGGCTCTGAAGGCCCGTTCCCTGGGCCAGGTCCCTTTCCTCAGCAGCTTTCACCTGGACCGTAAGTGCAAGGGTGGGGCAGCCTGTGGAGAGGTGCTCACTGTGAAAATTAAGTCTGTTTGTGGGCATGGAATGTTGGAGTTGGGGGCTGGCTGAGACACTACAGGGGTGATGGGTGTGGGGAAGAGGATGCAGAGGATGCTGGAGGCGGGGTTGTAGGTCCCAAGCTTGGGCCCTGATGGGAAAAGTAAGGCAAAGGGTTAAGGCAGCTGCTTAAGGCCATTTGGCCTTATGAATGAAAAGGGGATGCCTCTCAAAGTTGCAGTTCCTTCTTGTCTTCACTCCTTATTATAAAACACTTGATTCAAGATGTACAAACATTGTTAATTACAAAGTCACGAATACACACACTCCTGACCCATAGTTCTTCCTTTGCCCTAACTCTGAGCTTCACTCTATGCTCACCCCATCCCTGACCTCTAACCACAGTGGGACTTAGGTTTAGAGTTAGGATGTCTGTTCAGCATATCATTGGTGTGTGTGTTTTTTTAAAGGCTGAAGATGTAATGGTTTGTGTTTTAGTCTGAATCAAAATGTCACAGCTCCCGTGGCATTGACACTGATGTTCCCTCTCCTCTTTGCTCTTTCTCCTCCTCTGAAGTACTGATGGGGAGCTGCCAGTGCAGGCTGGGGGTTGAGCATCCTGAAGTGTGCACTGACTCTGTCCTCTTCTTTTATCCTCTCTCTAACTTAGCTACCGAATACATTTCCCCTCAGAGACTCCTGACCCATCTTGTGGTAAGTGATGCCAGAATGAGTACTACAGTCATATATTCTTCCATCCACTCATCAACCCATCCATCCATCCACTCATTTCACAAAGAGCTGGTTACTACTTTGTCTCAGGCATTATGCTGGGTATGGAATAATGAGATAGGGGCCAAAGAGCATGGAGGAGGGACCTGGGAGCATAGTGGTGAGGCCTTGAGATGAGGATGTGGGCAATGGGAAAGGCTTGCCTTTCTCCTATGTGGCCTTATTGTGAGCTGCTCTCTGTTGACCGTGGACAAGCCCACATACCTTTCTGGATCTCTGTTTTGAGTTTCTCTATTAGCCCAGACATTATGTGCTAGAGATATGCACACTTGGAATGACAAAGGTAGACCTACCCTTGATGTGTTCACAGACTTATTGGGGAAGACAAGTGTGGGAATAGCTATCTATAGTCTAGTGTGACAAATGTACTAATAGATGAATACATAAGGTGCAACGGGACTTAGAAGAGCAACAGGCTGACATGGTCTCCAGGAGGCAGGAAGGCATCACAGAAGAGGTGATGTTTCCAGAGCATCTGGGAGGATGTAGGAGTTCAACAGGTGGCAAAGAATGTGCAGGGCCTAAGCTCCAGCTCTACCATTCTATGGACTTGCTTTCATTTTCTTTCTTCTCTTCTTTTACATATTTTCTCTGCCTCCTGCTTGCTTCTCAGATGTGTTCCCGGAAGCCCTACAGGGAAAAGGAGTTTGGTACAAGCTCTCTGAGGCTACTATCTGCCCTGCATCCTATCACTTCTCTGCATCCTGTTATAAACCACAGTGTTGGCCAGCTGTGGAGGAAGGTGATCCCACCGATGTTGGAGATACTAGATGGTAAGGGCTTGGTTAGCAGGGGGAGGAATGAGGCTGGGACAGTGGCCAGACTCCAAAAGAGATGGCGTCCCCAGGTGCAGGATGGACCTTCCTTGGGGTGAGGAGAACTGGAACCAGTCTCTCTGTCCCTTTGAGGTGCTATTGGATGGGTCTGCTTTTGGGGGCAATCTTGTGAACTGAGCAGAAACACAGTCCAAAGTTCTGTGTCTCCAGGGTTCCCAGAATGACTCCTGCACTTTCTTATGGGCAGAAGATCAGGGAAAAGTGTGGGCTTTGGAAACAGACAGACCAGTTTTGTATCCTTGCTCTGACACTGGTCAGCTGTGTGTATTTGACCTTTGAAAAGTCATTCATCTTCTGGAGGCTCTGGAAAGTGGGAGAGCAGTTACCTTGTAGGCTGAGTGCCGCATAGTACTTAAATGTTTTCTTCTCCCTGGCTGGGACCTTCCGGTTGAGTGGGTCCCCATGCTCTCTCCTTTCCTAGATCATACTGAGAAGAGCCTGAATCAGGAGGAGTGGGAGGACAGGCTGTTCCGGGTAAGCACTCCCCAAGACCTACCTCCCTCCACACTTGCCTTCTTTCCCATCTTCAGGAACCTGAGGAAGGATAGCCCCAAGCCCCCCAGATACTGAGGCCATGATCAAGGGCCTAACTGCTCAAGTAAACCTCTTTCTGTGGTCCCCTTGCCTCCTGGCCTCTGCCTCAGAGTATCTGACTATGTGCTAAGTCTTGAGCCCCCTTCCATACCCTATGACACTCGATCAAGGGTGTGAAGGGAAAGAGCCCTAGCTTTATGTCCTTGGACAAGGTATTTAACTTTGCATGTCTCAGATTCTTCATTGGTTAAATGGAAGTAACTCATGCCTTCCATAATTAAAAAGGATGATATCGGAGAGGACCTTGTAAATTGGAAAGGACTTCACACATGTAATAGCCATTACCATCATTGTCACTGTAATATCATTCTTCAGTCCTAACTCCCACCATGTGTTTCACCTCTTTATCCATATTTACAGGCCATAACCCCTGTCTTTTGCTTCTTCTTGACCCCACTTTTGTGGAGCAGAACAGCCTACCACTGTCCTTTGTGGTCCTCTTCTCCCTTCTTCTTCCTTCTTCCTCAGTTTTTGAGTAAGTCATTAGTGGCTATTGATGATGACAGCTGGCAGGAGCAACTCATCAGAGTCATCTTGGAGAGGATGCATTATTTCAGTGATGATGGTGATGAGAAGGTGTGTCTGGGTGTGTGGTGGTTGTAAGGTGGGAGGGCGTTGAAGGTGGAGGGTGATGTTGAAGAAATATGGTGCTCACACAGGTGGCTGGGGAAATGTGTTTGAGTACAGGCCTTGGGGAAAGAACAAACCAGTGTTCCTGTATCCTGGGAATCAAGGTGTGGAGAGGACCACAAACTGGTGGTCACACTGGCCTAACAAAAATATCAGTGTCTTACTTTTGCTTAGCCTTTTAGGCTTTATCAAGAACTTTGCAATCTGTTGTCTTCATTGAAACCTCCTAATATTCTGTAATAGAATGGAGCTTGTACTTGGTGCAGTGGAAAGGTTGTTGATTTAAGAGTCCTATTTAAGCAATCAATTCAAGTAATATTTGAGGGCATCCCATAGACTGTGCTTCAAGTTGGGGATACAGAGTTGAGGAAGAAATATGGGCTCCTTTCCTCACAGAGTGCAAGGTTGATGGTGGTGACGGCCTGGGGTCCTGCACTGGCTTTTCCATGTGCTCCCAATTTAGTCTTGATAAAGTGTCAACAATAAAGATTTTTAAAATATTAGCCTAAATAACCTATAGCTGTCGTCATCTCTACCTTGACGTTGAAGAAACACAATCCAGGAGGATTTAGAATCTTGAGAAAATTATTGGTTAAACTGGCACCTGAATCCAAGATTTTTCTTCCTTTTTTCTTTTTTCCTTCCTCCCTCCCTCCCTCCCTTCCTTCCTTCCTTCCTTCCTTCCTTCCTTCCTTCCTCACCTGAGGATATTTTCCCACTGATTTTTTAGGGAGAGTGGAAGAGATACAGAAAGAGAGAAATATCTAGGAGAGAGAAACACATCAATTGGTTGCCTCCTGCATATGCCCTGACTAGGGACCAGGCCAGGGGGGAGCCTGCAACCGACATATGTGCCTTAACTGGAATTGAACCCAGAACCGTTTAGTCCGCAGGCCAATACTCTATCCACTGAGCCAAACTGGCTAGGGCCTGAATCCAGGTTTCTTGATTTTGATTCCTGTTTTCCTGTCACCGAGAAATACTTTATTTGAGCTCTGGAGGTTTCCAGGAAAGAGGCCTTATTTCCAAGACCGTTTGCTCTCTCATTATTAACAGTACTTATGAAGCACCTAATGTATGCACATCTTTGTGGTTGGTAGATTAGGGGTACAAAATGAAGCGAGAATTCTGATCTTTTTAATTCAGTTATTTAAAAGGTGCACTAGCCCTAGCCGGTTTGGCTCAGTGAATAGAGCGTTGGCCTGTATACCGAAGGGTTCCGGGTTTGATTCCAGTCAAGGCCACATATCTTGGTGGCAGACTCCACCCTTTCTTGGGCCCTGGTCAGGGCGTGTGCAGGAGGCAACAATTGAGGTGTCTCTCTCACATTGATATTTCTCTCTGTCTTTCCCTCTCTCTTCCACTCTCTCTAAAAAAA